GAAGCAACTTTAAAAGATCTCCTCCAAAAGGCCTTCTGAAGCACGTCCTATAAAAGCCCTTCTGGAAGGCCTTCTATGGGTAGCGAAAGAGGAAGGCCTTCAATCTGTGCCACTCCATACAAAAAAGAAAGGAGAAAGGAATGTAGAGTGGAAGGCCTCTTGATTCTCAGGAAGGCCTTTCGGAAGGGCTTTTAACTCCTGAAATTATCTACTGGGAGGGGCTGAACACCTTTTGCAGAGATATTTCGTGGATATTTTTTTTTGACAGCTCAGCTCGGAAACGTGCAAAAAATACCATATTTCCAACCGACATTATTAATAAATTAGTGCACAGATATAGTAAATTTTATTTTTAATTTTTAAGCTTATACAACAGAGCCTATCATATAAACTAAGAAAACGCAGCGCTAGCTACATAGGCTATCGGATAACTGGTGAGGACTTGCTGATTAGATGCGTCGTTGGAGATCTGAGTCCTTTAGAAACTTGTAGATCTTAGATATGTTGTCTTTAGATGGATTAATGAGTCTGTGCATCTCCAGTGCAGGGCAGAAAGTTAGTAGATGTAGAACACTCACTGTTGCATCGCAGAAAGGGCATGGGTTTGGCTGATTGCCTTGTAGTAGATATGCGTTCGTGATTATGCTGTGACCGATGCGGAGCCTTATATAGGGTGTAATGTAATTTGTCGGGATACATGACGGGTAGCACAGTTTCTTTCGGGTAGGATTAATTCTGGCATAATGGTGTCTATAGTTCACCCAATCTGAATTTAACTGGGTTTGTCGCTGCTGAAAAACAAGTCGGTTGGCGTCGCTTTTACATATCAAGCTAGATGTGATAGTCGGAGTTCTCCTCATTACTTTCGCTGTTGTGTCAGCTGCTAAATTACCGTTGATGCCCGCATGTCCTGGAACCCACATTAGTCTGAGTTTCTGAGGGTGCGATATCATTATGTTTCTTATGTAATCGATAATGTAGTTGCTGTTGTTCAGATTTTTGATGCCTTCAAAACAAGAGCGACTGTCCGAGCATACTATGAATTTGCCTTTGTATTTTATCGCATATTGCTTAGCGTGAAGGATCGCAACAGCCTCCGCAGTGAATATCGAGCAGAAAGGGATGTTCTCCTTAATAACCAAGGCGGGCGAACAGTTTGTCAGAGGATGACGGACAGGGGCGAGACTTGCGGCTTGCCATTGTCAATGGATAGAATTGGAGAGCGGACGCTGGAGATTAGAACACTGATTTTGCGGTTTGACAAGAAGGATGTTATGAAGTTGTATATTCTTTGCCCGACATTCCATTTATTGAGTTGTCTTAGCACCACATGTATTCCTATGCGATCGAATGCTTTTAAAAAATCAAGCGATAGAAGAGTTATATGGTTCTTGTGGGACAAAGCATCGGAGATTACATGATCAAGATGTAGGAGGGCGTGGAGCGTGCTTTGACCTTTTTTAAAGGCAACTTGGTTGTGGTGCATGAATTGGTTGGAATGTATAAACCAAGACAGTCATTTTTTTCCAGCAATTTACCAAGGCAAAGGAGTAAGGATATGGGACGATAACTGCTTGCTTCACAAGAGGGTGTATTCGCTTTTAGGATAGGAATGACTGCACTAGTTTTCCAGAGGAGGGGATAGTTGCCTGTATAGAAAATATTATTATAGTGTGTGAGGAGGCGTGAAATAAGGGCCATGGGAAGATGTTTTATTATTGGGTACGATATCTTGTCGAAACCGGGGGTTCTTCCTTTTACCGCAGATAGGGCTGTTTGGAGCTCCAGCAGCGTCAGGTCGGCATCCAATTGTTTGGCTGAAGGTGTCAATCTAGGATTAGGCGGACGAGAGGAGCAGAGTAATGCAAGCTTACTTGCTGCGAATGCAGGGGGGAAATTGGAGTCGGATGATAAATGGTAAAAATGGGAGGCCAGTTCTAGAGCTATGTCACGAGGGCTAAGTAGATCGCCGAGCGAGGATTTAAGGAGGGTAATAGAGGAATGTGAAGGCAGAGTTGGGCAAAATTTATTCGAATGAGGAATAACAAATGAATAAATTGTTTTTCTTGTTATTCGTAAATAATAAATAATTTTGGTTATTCAAAAAAAAAAATAATTCGAATGACGGATAAATTATGTTATTCGTTATTCGAATAATTATTATCTTCATTAATTATTCGAATAACGAATAAAATAATAATAAAACAAGTAATTTATGTATATAGATATGTACATATATTTATGTATAAAATGATAACCGTTTTCGTTGTTGTGATTTAACTCAAACCCCTAGATAGATTTAAATCAAATTTTCGGAGGTTATTCCATGCGCATTAAGTCCTATTAAAGGCTACTAGAAAACTCCTTTGTGGCGATGGAGCCGAGTTATTGATAAAAGCCGTATTTATGAACTGATTTCGTTCAAATTCAAAATGTGTTCTGCCTGCATGATGAAAAATACTTATGCGAAAAATGGACCCGCTAGGTGGCGCTACAGTTGAGTTATTTAGAAAATCCCTACTTATTGTACAATCAGGTTGCAATTCATAATGGTGCTGCAGTCGAAATCTCTAGAAACCCCATATGTCTGGACTCCTTTGTTTTTTATGTTTATATTATACGAATTTACGATGTCCCACGTCGTCATATACCCTAAATGCGACCTTGCATCTACCTCCGCTTGATGAAATTGCTCGGGCGGCCATTGCTGCAGCAGCAAGACTCAAGGAAACCAGCTCTTGGATATTTTAAAAGTGGCGAATCAGCAAGGAAAGTTTCGACCACATCCTTCCAATTCCTATATCAATGGCCAAATTTTACATCGAGGACGCACATCTGTGCTCTTCAGCATCCTTATAAGGACTTTTGTTGGCCTACATGACATAAGACTAGAGGTTGACGCATCGGATCAATGTTGTAGTTGCAAGATCATAGAAGAAGATTACGCACGCTTAGAAAAGATCTCACAAGTGGAGGTAAAGCTCGTGATATTGAAAGGAATTTTGTCTTGCATATAGCATCAGAGCGCTATTTTTTGGCAGAAATATGTGTGAGAATTTTTACTTTACCCATATTTGGTTTTCAACGCTATTCTTGCATTGGCCAACGCAAAAAATCTTATTAGGGGCCGCGAAACCATAGGGAATGGGCTAGTATTCTTGATAAAATAGTAAACAAAATTCAGCTAACTTACAATCCTTGACAATAGAAATAAAAGTAAAAGGTGGCTCAATGTGTTAAAAATGAGTTTTTATTCATTATTTAAAATAACGAATAAAATAACGAATAAATTATTCACAAGCAATTTATTCAGAATAATTTATTCGTGAATAAGTTATCTGCGAATAATTATATTACGGATAAAATTTTATTCGAATAATTATCTAAATAACAATTTATTCGAATAATGCCCAACTCTGTGTGATGGTAGACCAGTAAGTCTTCTTATGTCCGCCCAGATTTTTTTGGTGCCAGAAGTAGTTGTGATGCTACTAGTAAACTTTTGAAAGCAAGCAAGTTTAGCGGTTTTAGCGCTACGGCGAAAAAGTGCGTTGGTTTTCTTATAAAGAATGAGGTTTGTAATATTTCGGTTGCGTTTGAATTCGCGCCAGGCTTGCTGCTTTCTGTCTCTTAGTGCTGACAGTTCACTATTCCACCACAACGGGGATGGTCTGCGTAGTCATGTTGTGGTAAGGGGGATGGTTTTATTAGCTGCGGACCGAATGATTTTCTGGATGCTGGACGTTTCCTGGTTTACATTGGATGATATTGGATAGGAGGAGGATAGCGTTTCACAAGCTTTCTCAAATTCCGCCCAGTTTGCCAGTTCGGTTTTGACAAAAGTTAATGGCCTGGTGGAAAGAATAGTGCTTAGT